AGGCAATTTCCTCTCTCTCTCCTGGAGCTGAGACATTCTTCTGCCCTCAGACATCAGAATTCCAGGCTCTCTAGCCTTTGGAGTCCGGGAGTTAAACCAGCAGCCCCCCAAGTTCTCAGGCCTTCAGCTTGGACTGAGTTACCATCAGCTTCCCTGGTTCTGAGGCTTTTGGACTTGCCTGAGCCATGCTACCAGCTTGCAGGGTCTCCAGCTTGTAGATAGCCTGTTGTGGGACTTCTCAGCCTCCATAATCATGTGAGCCAATTCCCCTAATAAATCCCTTCTCCTATATCTATATCTATATCCACGTTTATGTCTATGTCTATATCTATATCCTATTGGTTCTGCCTCTCTGGACAACTCTGACTAATAAACCAAGATCTTTATCTTGGATAATTTCTTGGCTGAAATGTTCTATTAGAACTCAGTGGAAAGCTGAACTACTCTACTACTGTTAGCTAAGAGGGCAATATGGTTAGAAACTGAATATGGTAATAAAATGGAACATGACAACTTTGCAGGTTAAGTGATTTTTAAAATTAAAGCTTAAAAGGGCAATGATCTCCCTAGGGCACATAACACATTCAAGTGCAGAGTAATGAAGAGCTTGAGAACTTGCCCATTTGCTACCTATTTTCAAAGAAGTAGAGGAACTCTTAATTTCCTATACAATCTAATTTGTCTATTCAAAACATTGCTGGAAACACACAGAGAAATCCAAATTCTTTTAGAAGTACAAGTGATCAAAATTGCCCTGGGATTTGTACTCATCTTTTCCACTGCATTTTTAAAAGACAAAAATAAGTCACAGGGTATTCTAATTTTCTTTTGTCATTGTTTCAATAGGACAGTATCAGTGTAAACTTTGATAGCCAACAGGTAGATTCCAAATCTCTAGATGTTTCTATTACCATTATGTCTTCTTTATTACTGTATCCTGAGTATTTGGCACAATTTAGCATAAAGGAATTACTTAATGAATGTATTTGAAATGAGCAAATGGATTTAAATTATCTAAGAAACTGAAGTCATAATGCTGATGGTTGTACTCACCTCAGTTTCCTGCAGGCGGTGTCCAATGAGGCTTAGGGACTCTCCCAACAGCTGAAGATGAGCAGCAACGTCAATGGGCTCTGTCTCAGGGGCTTTGGCTGGCGAGGCTGGTAACAGCATGGTAGTGGATGGGGACTTCTTTTGGGGTGAGAGTACTCCTGGAGAAGAAGCTGAGAACAGAGGGATGAAGGTAAGAGATAAAACTGGCCTACAGGTTTGAACACCACAAAAATGTTCTTCCTGATTCTTTTTATGAATTATACCAAGAATTAGCAAAACTATGGTCTGTGGGCTAAATCCAGCCCATGATCTCTTTTTGTATGGTCTGCAAGCTAATAATGGTTTAACATTTACAAAGCATTGTAGAAAAACAAAGAATTTGTGAAAGAGAATGCATATGGGGCACATAGCCTATAATATTTACTCTCTGGACCTTTACAGAAAAAAATTTGCTGACCTCAGATTTACATTTTTTAAATTTGAACATCTTTTTTTTTTTTTTTTTAAAAAAAGATGACCGGTAAGGGGATCTTAACCCTCGACTTGGTGTTGTCAGCACCACGCTCAGCCAGTGAGCGAACCGGCCATCCCTATATGGGATCCGAACCCGTGGCCTTGGTGTTATCAGCACCGCACTCTACCGAGTGAGCCACAGGCTGGCCCCAATTTGAACATCTTTTTTTTTTTTTTAAAAAAAGATGACCGGTAAGGGGATCTTAACCCTCGACTTGGTGTTGTCAGCACCACGCTCAGCCAGTGAGCGAACCGGCCATCCCTATATGGGATCCGAACCCGTGGCCTTGGTGTTATCAGCACCGCACTCTACCGAGTGAGCCACAGGCTGGCCCAAATTTGAACATCTTTTTTTTGCAGCCTATAAGATTTAGTAATAATACCTGAGTATCAAGGTCTGCTTCTAATATAAGCTGCCCTCCCAATTCCCTAGTTAAGGAAGTAAAATTCACGGTGCTTTAAAGAAAAGAATTACAAGCAAGAGAGGGATGTGGTCAATACCTTTCACTTTCACAGAACCTTCTGAGCTGGATGCTTTTCTTTTCACAGTTGTAGCTTCAGCTTTGTTCTGTTTGTGCTGTAGATACTGAGCTTTTTGCTTCCAAATCTGCAACAAGATCAGTGCACAATAATTAAAATAAATTAAAAAGGACAAAAAAGTAAAAGGGAAAGCAGTCATGGAAGAACAAAATGAAGAAAAGAAAGGGAACAGTGGAGGGGGCAGATAGGGGGGTAAAGCTAACTTTTAAGCTGAGGGTCACTGAATTGGCTTCATTAATATTTGAGTAAGAGGACTATAAACATTCCTCAATACTATTAGTCAAATCTCAGTGTTAATGTTTAGATCACTCCAAGGTTGAAATGTAAAATCAGAGTAAACATTTAGCTCAGTATAATATCCCTGTGGTTTAAATATTTCCTCTAACCTGGTGGTTGGCAGTACCAATAGCAGGATAACAATGACATGGAGAAATGAGGGATAATATCTCTGGGTGAAAAATAGTTGTTTCATCCAGATGAAGTGTATCCTAAAGTAAGATGGCAATTCTTGTTGCGATACCACCTTCATGTCTCCCAATTAGAGTGTGACTGTGAATGATTCAGATATAACTATTTATCACTGCCTTATTAGCTTCTTGATAGTAGGGTACATTATTTGGTAATGGTTGATGAAGATGATGACCTAGGACCTGGGTATAGGGTTAGGCACATACCCATGTTCTTACTGTTTGCAGTGGCTACTAAATGGATGACTTTCCTCAGTTTTCAGACCATAGCAACCCTTAGGTGTTTGTAATAGAGGGTTCTGACATTAGATTCTCTTTTCACACTTTAATCGCTGCCCATGTTAGGTTATCTTTTGCTTTAAATGTAATGTTGGTGGAAAAAAATTAGACAAGGTAAGAAAAGACAGCCTCTCTATAGCTAAATCCTCACACAGAGTGAATTAACACTAACAGAGTTAATGCCCTCTGCTAAACCATTTTCTATTGACTTATAATTTTTTTCACTACTTTCAGTGTTGTCTGGCTGAACGTCCTATAGGAGAATTACACACTTTGGAAGGCAAAAAGCAATAAAAAAACATGTTTGTAAAAAAGTGTACTTACCAGTTTGTCCTTTTCTGGCAATTGCTTCCACACCTCAGCCAGTTTTTTACTAAGTTCCCCAAAATCTGACATAAGAGAATAAAAAACTCAATACAGTAAAGAGTTAACTATTAACAAAATAAAAGATTGATTAAAGCAAAAACTGAAAAAGGAGTTTTGAAGATCAGATTTAAATATTGCAAGATTCTTTTAGAAAACCAAACCAAACCAAACCCCATCACTGATTTAAAAATTTTTTTCTATAGGGAAGGGGTGTTTTGGTGATCTTGAGGTAGGCTCTTATCCTTACACATCTACTCTCTAGGGATTTATTCCTTAAGCATCTTTCTGGTGTCTTTTGATTTGATCCCACAATACACGGCCTGTTAACTTAGGTTGCATAGAATTTGATAAAAGATGTTAGGTTTTTACCAAATTTCTTTTTTTTTTTTTTTTTTTTTAAAAAGATGACCGGTAAGGGGATCTCAACCCTTGGCTTGGTGTTGTCAGCACCACGCTCAGCCAGTGAGCAAACCGGCCATCCCTATATAGGATCCGAAACCGCGGCCTGGGTGTTATCAGCACCGCAGTCTACCGAGTGAGCCACGAGCCGGCCCTGGTTTTTACCAAATTTCTTTTTTTTTTTTTTTAAAAAGATGACCGGTAAGGGGATCTCAACCCTTGGCTTGGTGTTGTCAGCACCACGCTCAGCCAGTGAGCAAACCGGCCATCCCTATATAGGATCCGAAACCGCGGCCTTGGTGTTATCAGCACCGCACTCTACCGAGTGAGCCACGAGCCGGCCCTGGTTTTTACCAAATTTCTGAGAGATCAGAACTAAAGAAGAATTTCCTTATAGCAGCTAAGAAGATGTGTAATATTATCCTTCCATTTGTATAACAATTTTATGCTTTACAAGTACGTGCCTCCTGGCAACCTTGTAGAGTAGGTAGGCAGCTATTTTACACATTATGTAAATAGAATTTGTAGACATTAAGGAACTTGACCAAGGTCTGTGGTACGTTTTTTTCTCAGCTCATTAACTTTTAATATAGATACAAATATGAACAATATAATACAAGTCATCTCATTATAACTCCACACCTAAGGGCAGTTTAAGGAAAAGGTCAACTATAGAGTTTTGGAAATAAGCAACTATATATTTATGTGCACTTATATATGTACTGTGCTTTGGAACACTTAATTTTACACAGTTTCACATATTATCTGCTTAAGAGATATGTATAGAAAGCTCATATGACTCTTTTATGAATGGGGTGAACTAAAGTAAAATGTAAAGTGATTTGCAGAACCGAGGAAAGAAATGAGATTTGTGTTCTAATGCTAAGGAAAGAAGTCACCTGTTGACTAAATGAATGAACTGCACTGCTTCAGAAATACAATGGAAAGTAAAAAAAACTAAAGATCAGAAATGTTCTTACCTATACCTGGATGGTCAGCCACAATGGTTACACGATACTCTTTACAGAACACCTGGTAGGCTGACATGTTCTTCTTTTTTGGCTAGAGCCACAAAGAAAATAGAAGAGGGTAAAACTTGATTAGAACCCAAGTTTAGTAACCTGAATCTATGGTAATATAATAGAAAGGATAACTAAACTTTTTCAACATGGTAGGAGTTCCAAACTACTAACCAGCTTTCCTAAACAGGATAATTAATTTTTTCCTTTTTTTTTTTTTGGCTGGTACAGGGATCGAATACTGACCTCGGTGTTATTAGCACCGTGATAACTGATGGTGGCTTAATAATTAATCCACATTATTTATCACTCAGAGATGAATATCAGTTTTACCTTTAGCAGGGAAAAACCACACATTAAACTTTTAGATTTTTCAGGTTATTGTAGCTACATGCCAATTATCTGTAAAGCTCTTCATTCTTTATATTATACAAGTTACATATTTCTTTTAGCACTAAGAGCCGAGAGTATCTTTGCCTCTCCTGGGGTGTCTATTTTTCTCATCTTTGAAAATCAGAACTAGAATTTGCTTTTAAACTTTGGGGCCAGAAATTCAAGAGCCAAATCTATGTTCTTTTTCTCTGGTTTTGATTTCTAATCTTATAATTTCCCTGGACCTACTTTGAGTATCAATTTGTAGCTTACTGTTATTTTATTATTCACATTCTTGTGGTTCAATGTGAGAAGTAATGAATAAGTGAAGACAGTTATCTTCTAGTCAATGTCAGACAAACCTCTTTCACTTCTGCACACTGCTTTGTACTACATGAAGCACACTTGTTCGTCACCATATTATGACAATGCCAAAAGCAACGTATGATCTTTGAGGAACAAAATCAAATCACTTTTAGAGCCCATTCAACAAGGGATATATAAAACAAAAAATTATATTACTGTGCATTCCATTTTACAACTATCCATAGACTAAGAGAAAAATAATTAAGTTTCCTGCCTGGAAAGAGGAATTAAATGAGATATCATCTCCAAATCTCTCATTTTGAAGATGGGAAAAAGTAAACTCAGAGCAATAGTGACTTGCTGAGGGTCCTACACTAAACAAGTTACAACGTCAGAACTATAACCCAGTTACCCCGACTTCCAGGGCCATGCATTATGTGTGAAAGAAAGAAAATACGTTGCTTCCTCACAGAAAAAGTTGCTATTTAAAATAAAGAAAGGGTTAATCTAATAAACTGAGATGTTTTCAGTGTGGCCTTCCTGAAAAACTTATCTGTAAACAGCAAAATATGATCAATCCTTTATCTCCTCCTGAAGAGTGCTCCATCTCCTACTAGTCCTTTCTGGTCCTGTAGTAGTTATAATGACCCAAATATTTGTGTTTTAAAAGCCACACGGGGAACTTTTGTGTGCCCTAAGAGACAGATTTTATGACCAAAACTAAACCACCAACCAACACAGTCCTGCCTCTTAACTTCAGAGTTGCACCTTGTTTTAAACAAAGCTTAATCATGAACTTTGTTTACCTGCCTGAATTCTTAATGTTGTTTCCATAAAATAACTACCCTCAAAAGACAAAGACTGGTTGAGACAAAGGACAATAAAACGCTTGTGTGATGGCTCTGACTCTAATTCCAAAAGGAATTCTGAAATCATTCTGAGGAATGGAAACATTGCCAGAACACCTTCCAAGGTAACTGCTTTGAATG